AAGGAATGAAGTTGAGCCTGGGAAAGGGGGGAGGAAATTTGTTGGTTTAATATCTATCTTTTTGATTCCCTCTACCCAACTCAATAAGTAAGTATTTTATTTGGCAATAAATTAAGTTAACTTTGTCAAGTAAGGCTATTTTGGACACAATAGTAACTAGTAAGAAATCTCCCTGTCTTTATCTCAAGCCATAAGCTTTTCTTGTTCCTGTTCTTCGTATTTTCTACCCCCTGCCCTGCTGAGAGCCAAGAGTGAGCAAGAGCCTGGGTGTGGGTTTAGCAGCTAGCCAAGGCTAATCCACAAGACAAAAACCAATGTATTTCTAGACTGAAACAGTTGGTGCTGAGGTCTCAGTGTCTGCTTTAGACACGCTTCAGGGGGTTACTTTGAACTAGGACTAGTCTGGCCTTGTGGCCTGTTCAAGACTGGAGTGCATCAGGCACATTCCTGAAGCACATCATTCAGTTCAGTTGTATCTGGAAGAATTCCAGTTGGAGCGGTCAGCAGCTTCTCCATGATGTGCACCAAAGGATGGTAGACAAGGATGACACAACCAAGTGAAAAAAGCATATTGATTTCCTTTTAAAACTTAGTACTATGACGTCTATTTAAGTTATATATAATCATATTCTCACTGTACAAAATATATAGAAGCATTTTAAGCAAGAAGTTTACTACTGATGTAGATACTTCCTTTCAGAATACTGTCATACCCAAGCTGTGGCTAGAGAACTAATCCTTTAAAGGACTGAGCCTGGAAAATCAGAATGCTGTATGTTTAAAAATGATGTATGTCTTCCATCTAGCTAAGAAACTTGATGCCATCCTTCCCCAAAAAAGATGTGGCTGCTACAGTCTGTGCATGTCACTTTTAAGATGTTAAAGTGGTGCTATAATCCAGGCTGCTAGAGAGCATCTAATTCTTCCATGCTGTAGGATACCATGAGCATACTTTCAAAATATGTTCAGTATGTTTGAGATGTTTTAAACTCTTGGGTACCAGATTTTGAAAGGAAATTAGGTGTTTGCCAGAATTGTCAGACATGCATAGGATATCAGGTAGTTTACTCCCATAGAAATTTTAAGTGATGCTCATGTTTTATATTTTCTATCAAAGACTGACATATTTCTTTACAATTATTTAGAGCAGTTACCTTTTTGTGCTTCCAGCAATTCCTTTTCAGTGTCGCTATCCAAACACAAGGCTGCGTTTTCTCTGTGTGGTGGTGATCACTGGGAATTCCCTTTTCCATCTTAGAAGTCTGAACTTTCATGCCATTTTAACAACTTCGGTGACTCTCTCTAAATAGTTGGCCATGTATAAAATGGAAACTTGAACGTGTCTCCAGTTGCTAAAAAAACCCTCAAAGTTTTGTAAACAGACTGAAATTCTGGAATGTTTATTGGTAATGGTAGTGTAAAATGACAGCTTTTCAATGCTTTTCAAATTATGATGTAAAGTATCAGACTGTGTGCTAAGCAAGTTAAATGAAACACCACATTTTTCTCCCTATTTCTGGTTGTGTAACAATACCTTTCATGCAGTTGGCAGAGAAACTTTTAAAGCTTGTGCTTTTAAACCTTGCTGTTGTATTTATTATCACTGTTGTCAATAAAGTTTAATTTTGAAGGAAGTGCTGACAGAGAAGGCTTAAAGAATGGACCGGAAAGTAATTTCTTCAGCCATATAAAGAAGAGAAAAATTAATAGATGAAGTGCTCGAAAAGGATTCAAATATAAAGTAAAATAGTCCAGCAATTAAAAGATGACAGTTTGTTTTAGATTCTAAGGCCTTGTCTTGTCTTAGGGTATGTTCTTTTAGCTAAATTTTATTTACTAGTGAAGGAGACTGTTCTAAATATGAGATACATAACCATTAGTAAATGGTACATGTCACCTCTTGCTGCTTAAAGCTGACTTACTTCATTGGCAGATTCTAGAGTTGTCCTGAAGCTCTTTTCGGTGTTTGGAATATGAAAGGCTTATTTTGATATGGGATGTGCAGGACCTTTATTACTATACGACATGGCTAAAATACTGAGCAGAGGTTTAGAAAACTTAACAGGAGGTAGCAAATAGTTCATATGGTGTTACATTCGGAATGATAAGTTACAGATAGTACGGTGGCTCACAAGATAATAATGGGATTTTTCTTAGGAAATCTTTAGTCACCTGCTTGCAGCCAAACATCTGCTTGGTTTTATGTTGTATTCAGAACTGGAACAGTATCTGTAGGCACTTGGCATTTTAATTACCTCTTGAGGAACATGTGGAGATAAAATTTAATTCAGTCTGGTAAAAGCATCTGATAAAGGATTGAGTGGATGATGATGTCATTTTTTTAAGTGAAAACAATGAAATATATGTGCCATCTCTGCCTTTTCTCCTCCCTCCTCTTTCTTTTTTACTGGTCTTAAACATGACATATTTTGACATTTGGGTCACAGTCCAAATGGACTTAAGAATCCGTCATCTCTTTTCTGCCCTGTGGCTTTGTAGAATCAATGTGGTATGTACTTGTCTGTCTCTTTATACCTAGTTTTCTTCTTCCTTAATAGGTCTACTGTTAAACAAGTCCCTGCTGTTTTTAAAATAGGACTTTGTTCTGCTCTTAGCCCCAAGACCCCTTAGTCATACAAAACCTTGTTCTGTGACTTCTGTTCATTTGTTTTCCTGTTTGGAGATTTTATTTTCCACTTTCTGTTTCTCCTTCCTCTGCTGCTGATGCTCAGCCTGTGAGCAATTGTTTCACTCGTGCAATATTACACAAAGGAACAAGGTAAATGGCAGCATATATTTTCTTCCTCACAGTTCTACTTCCCTTCAAAATATAAATAAAGCCCACAAGAAATTAATAAAGTAAGCAGCCAAAATAAACTATTTTGAACACAATTTTTACCCATAAATAAAGCAGAACTTTTCTGTAGTTTCCTATTGGATTTTCACTTTGCTTTCCATCTAAAATAGGTATCAGATACCATGGTAAAGTGTGGTGGCATTAAAGTAGTTATACAGTAAGAGACAAAACAAAAGCACCGTATTTTCTGGAGATCACAGTTATTCACAGAATCACATAGTTTTCTATTCTCTTATGCTATCCGCCGGTATGCTTACCTGTGATCCTATTTGGGAAAGACTGGATATGTACTTCAGTGAAAGACAAGGAGAACCTCACTGCCTAGAAAAGAAGTGTCGAATCAATGCCTACGTGTGATGGAAGGGAACGTTACAATATGGTTTTAGTAGTTCCTCTGCATGAAAGTGGTGTAAAAACTGATATGAGAGTATTTTCAACAGTGAAAGACATACTGCTCTTTTCTTACTTGATAGAAACTCTGTATAAAGGACAAATTTTACATTAATTTCTTTATCTAAATTTCTTCTGCATCAGTGAGAGACGATTATTTGCTTCTTTTTGCTGCTCTGCACTTCCTAAGATGACATTGCATAGTGGTTTCTAAGGGGTTGCTCTGCTCATTTTGCTTTTAGATTATATTTGCAAGGATGTGAGGGAGGAAGCGCATAATATGAAGGTTCTAATAAGAAAATTTGCACCTTGTGAATCTGAAAATTTTTCTTGGATTAAAATTCAGTCATTTCCAAATTCTGAGCATTTCTTCTGAATTCATAGATGACTGAAAGACCAAAAGTCTAGCATAAATCTGAGTAACCTGTTAAATGCTTCACATGAAAGAATGTTCATCTCGCTGCTTGTATTTTTGAATGTTATTGATTCATGTTAGAAATGTAATAGGGCACATATGAAAATAGCGCATTTTAAATTTCTTTCTAGTGTAGCACAACAATATGGTAAGCATTCTCAAAATAAGAAACTGTATTTATAGTTTCCCCATAAATACATATGTAGGTCATTCTTGAACAATGAACAATTATATGGAAAGAGAATAGAAAAGTAAAATGTGTAGTTCAGAATACAGATGGATATTTTCCTCTCTTCTCAAACTATCATCAAAGTTATTCATTCAGGATTTTGCTATTTTTCTAGAATACTAGTGGTACATTAAAAGAAAAAAAAAGTTTAAGGATGATTAAATAACAAAAATACCAAATAGTTTCAACAAAGAAGAAAGAAAATTAATTCAGTGCCGTTTGTTTTTTGCAATTCTATACTAGCAGAAGGATTGATTTGTGATCAGAAAAAGTAAAAGTGTTGTTTGGTTAAAATCAAAATCTCTCAAGCTTTGAGAGATGTCACAGTGGTTTCTGCTCTTTTTTTATTCATGACTGTTTCTGCTTTTCTCCCTCTTCTCTAGAACAGAGATGCAAGCTAATATATGCTGGTTAAAATTTATGCCAGTGTCACTTCATATATTGTGATTTTTATTTTTTTTAAAATCACTATTAACGAAGGAAACTGCAAGAAATTTAAACATAAGAAAAAAAGCTTTACTTATACTGGTATCTGATCACCCTCATAGGTTTCCTAGACAGATTGTAGAGTCTCCATTCTTGGAGATGTTCAAAACCCAACTGGACACGGTCCTGGGCAACCTGCTCTAGTTGACCTTGCTTTGAGCAGAAGGATCAGACTAGAGACCTCCAGGTTTTAATAGTTCCGTACTGTGGTGAAAGAGCCTGGCTTCTGTATTTGGAGATAATTTTGCAGTGATCTTGGTGTAGTCTGCATATGTGCATTAAAGGAACTTATTACCATACAGTTCTTCAGATTATGACGAAGGACATATTTTATTAATAAGTCAAATCAAGAAAGCCTATTAAGTTTTGTGTGTTTATATTTTGAGATCAATGTGAGTTTTTTAACTTAATTTCACACTTAAACTCTGAAGGAGAATAACTAAATATCATCTCATCAGTGTTCTTTATAAAGATTAAATAATTTATTAGAAATTTCAGATGTGTACATGTTTCCAAACATTGTGTTCTAATTGTTTTCAATTTTTTTTTTTATTCAACTGCTTGATTATATAGCTAATACACTACCTTATTATCTTCCGCAGATCTGAAGAGGGAAGCCAGTATTTGTCATATGCTGAAGCACCCCCATATTGTTGAACTATTGGAGACATACAGCTCAGATGGAATGCTTTATATGGTCTTTGAGTTGTAAGTTTCTCTCTTTGATTTTACCTTTCTTTGTTGTCATTTGCTAAATAAAGTCCTAAAAGTATGTCTGCTTCCACTTGCTTGTTTTGTAGCTCAGAAGTCTTGAGTGCTGTGAAAAAATTTATTTCTGGCAAGTACAGGTTGTCCCAAATAAAAAAAAGTTACCGCACCGGCTAAGTGGCTAATATCAGGCTGATTCTTTATAGCATGCTTTCTAAAGGCAGACATGCTGTTCATTGATGGCTGCTGTGTCCCTAATAGGGTACCTGAGAACGAGTTGAAAATCTGCTGATAGTCATCATCTTTGGGTAGCCAATGGTATTATATTCCAGTTGTGAAGTTTTGTTTGTTTTTTTCTAGACTATTGTTTCTTTTGCGCTGCTTCTCCTTTACTAGATAAGAAAGTAAAGCTTATTGGAGTCTTCAGGTATTCTTGTAAATCGATATACCTGTTCACTTCATACAAAAAGAGGCATTTGTCTAAAAGATATGTTTTGGAAGCTTAAATGTAAGAGTTTAGTTACCATTGTCATGTGGAAGGATGAACAAAACATGACTTTTCAGCAGTGTACAGGTATTTTTAATCAACAACGAGAAACAAAACGGGGGGCAGCCCCTAAATCTCCACATTCCTTCTTTGAGGGAAAATTATTAGTCCTTCTTGAGTTAGGTTTTAGCTAACTGGGAAGGACAAAAACAAACATGCAGAATACTAATTGTGCATCTTCTGTGTTCAATCTTCCTTCTCTTCTCTGTACCTACCAGCTCTTTTTTTTATGTTCCCCATATATGCATTCCTAGCGTGTCTGGGCATATGTGTTTATACCTCTTTAATTTCTCTGATCTTCCTGCATTATGTTTTCTAGTGCATTTAGCCTGCTTACATTGGAGAAAGCCACATCATGCCAGTGTGTTAGGTAGAATTGGCATGTCCACTAGAGCCAATATTTGACTTGAGATATGCACTTAAAAAAGAATTCTCACATGTTAGTTTTACCATTGAGGTAGAGAAAAAGTTAGGTGGTAACAGAAAAAAAAATGATGTAAAGCTGAAAATTGTTGCTTGAAAGTCTTCTGCTTTTTTTTTTCTAGGTAAGTTTATAAACTTATGATTGTGTGAAATAATTCTGTTATGCTTTCCTTTCTGTAAGTTTTGATTCAATACTGACTTTGTTTTTTATTTTGTAAATCCCAAAGCGTGGACCAAGGGGCTTTAATTATTGTATTATGAAATAATTATGTACACCTTGGGGAGACATAATGTGATAATTAACAAGATTTTGAAATGGAAAAAAGGTTTTGCTTCTATTTTTACCATGCCAGTAGCTCAGAAATATGAGACAAAAGCAGTAATTATTTTTTTAATGACAAGCCTATTACTTTTTATGTATACAAACATAAATGATAAGTCTGAACAATTAGGATTACTACACAAATACTGTACCTGACTTCAGGCCACGTGAAAGAAGGAAATATGAGGCTAAATTATTTGAAGGATAATAATTCTTTACCATCTCCTATGTCCTTGTCTCCCTTGTACACTACAAGACATCACTCTTTTGTAACAGTGATAGAAAATGAGACAGTAGGAACACCTGTGCTCAAAACGTAGCAGGGAATGGAAGAGTTGTGGGCACAATGTGTTATGCTGGAGGGGATGCTTTGGTAAAGTGATTTAACAGAAGACTGGTGTTTGCTGCATTGTCTGAGTTGGATTGGATTAGTGACATACTATATAATTGTGACCATAATAAGAAACCTGTAATGAGTAGAAAAGCATCTATATATTTGTAGGTAATTTATTTTCCCTCGTACTGCTTTCTGTTCGTTATGCTATTATTATAACAAACTTAACTGCTTTGCAACAAAGTTCTGTCTACAGTGATAAAATATATTTTATTAGGGTCTGGTTATTCTGTGGTGACAGAAAAGGGGAAGACAACACAGATCTGCAGAGGAGATACAAGCCCAGCTGGTGATGGGCTGTTTGTGGACCGGCAGATGCTTTGCATGAAAATTAATTCAGGTCCAGCACATGAAATGCACGCAATAACCAAACCTAAAACTTTGTGCCATCAGTTGCACATAAATGACACATAGGTCCATTACTGTTTCATAAGCTCTGAGCTACATGGAGCAGCTGCTAAAATGACCCTGAATATCTTGCCAAATCTATTGTTATGAAAAAGTACAAGTTAAATAAGCAAATGCGGCATATATCTATAACACAAGATTGTACCACTCAGGAAAAAATATGATCTGTGCCCAATTTTGAAAACTTGTTACAATAAACATTAAAAAAATCAAGTCACAATTCACAGAAGCACTGATGAACATGAACAGTAGCAGTGAAGTTAAACACCAAAAAATTAGCTGTGTTTTTAACCACTGTTTATACACAAATTCGAGCATTCTTTAGAATGGGGTCATCATGTCACGTTATCAGTAGGTTGCCGTTAGCGATTAGGTACTGCTGTAATAAACTGCACAGAAGCAGGTGGCCGTAATAGATGAAGTGCATGGGTAGAGTAAGAAGCAGACCCTGTCCCAGAAAGTCTTATTCTTAAAGTAAAATTATTATTTTAAAAGTATTTAGAAGTTATTACATCATAAATGAGAGAGTATGTGCCTGTGCCAAGTGATTTCCCCACACACACACCCCAGCTGCTCCCCAGAAGGGTAATGGACTCTCCGCTGATGGAAGAGATCCACTGGAGGCTCTAGAGAGACCTTGCATCTGAGATAAGGCCAGCTCTAGTCTTTATCATACAGTCGCAATTTTCTTTCCCATTCTGTGGTGTTATTTGCTGACAGCTGTATATCAAGTGATTCATCATTACTCGAGTTAACTGTGACCTTTTACCTAATACAAGCATGTAGTCAATAGAAGTACATCAAACAGTTATATTTTACAGTGTCAAAACAGATGAAAGCAATCCCTTTTTTTAAGTCTGTGCCTTGCAAAGAACAACATAATATGCAAAACTCTCCTGCTATTTAAAAATTCCATTTATGAAATGGGGTGCAATCTGATTCCTTTCATATTTGTTCAATAATGTGCTATTCTAGACAGTGCTGTCCCTGTCACATGATGTTTGCTTGGTAGTTTATGCATGGGAGGGGGGAGGAACACTGGTTTTACATAGAATGCTATTTTCTGTTTGGTATGTAACTATCACTATTGCTTTTATATTCTATTGCTTATTACATTTTTTTTTCTAATGACCATTGGTCTTTATCAATGAGAATACTTTGAGAAGGGTCAGCTACTTGCAATATTTCTAAAATAAAGCAAATATTCCATTTGAAGTGTCTGAAAACCACGTTTTAGAGTTAGAGTACGTTAGATGCAGTTTATCCTCAGTATAATCAAAGTATGTGGACTGAGAGTACTTACCTTTCATGCTGAAGAGCTCAGATACATAAGTAGTGAGTGAATTGCAGATACCTTAATATCTGGTCATTTGCAGAATATTGTCTCACCACTATACATAGGTGGGTTTGCTTTTCTTAGTGCATTCTAAGAGAGATTTATCTCTTGGGACATTAGAAGAACTGATCTTATTTAGATTTACCAGTTAGGCTGTATATATATATGTATGTATATAGTTATATACATATAACTTTGCCATTTAACCTAGCTAACGTGTAAAAATGCTTTAGTTTTAAAATCTCAAATTCATAAAAGCAGTACTTTAAAATGGTTGCAGTTACTTAGGTTTACGTTAACCATAAGCTGATGAGCATTTAAATGACAGTACATTCAATCATGCGGCTTTGTTGAAGTGTTAAGGAAAAAAAGAGGGGAAAAAATGAATGCTATCTATTTATTCTGCTTTGTTACAATACTGTGAAATAGCACAGCTTCTTAGTTTATGGAGTGAATTTTTTTTTTTTTCATTATTTTACTTAATCATGTTAGGTTTCCAGTTATGGTTTTATATTTAAATGCAGTCTCACCTGTAGTCCTTCATCTTTTATATTACTTTACTGTACTTTTGTTCTTTCATACTTGCATAATGCATTATCTAGGATAAAAATAAGTCTTAAATGTTAACTTTGGAAAGTAAAATCAAAAGAAACTAGAATCTGTATTTTTCACACCAAAACAGGTTGCTGTGATTACAGAAAGAAAACAGTGTCAGATGCTTCTAGGTTTAACATTTGGGCCAGACTTTCAAAATACCCAACAAAAGGAAAAACTTTCAAATTCATTTTGAAAAGCTTACAGTACACTTAGAGAAGTCATTAAATTAGAGATTCTCTCTGTCCTAACTTCAGATGTTTAAAAATTATACTCTAAATCTGAGGCATCTCTGTACGTGCTGTAAGAAAACAGTGTCAGATGCTTCTAGGTTTAACATTTGGGCCAGACTTTCAAAATACCCAACAAAAGGAAAAACTTTCAAATTCATTTTGAAAAGCTTACAGTACACTTAGAGAAGTCATTAAATTAGAGATTCTCTCTGTCCTAACTTCAGATGTTTAAAAATTATACTCTAAATCTGAGGCATCTCTGTACGTGCTGTTTTTTCCTGTGGACTGAAAGGGAACCTAAAGTGACTAACTCTAATTTTAAATGCTTTAAGGCAATGAAATTCCACCAAGTATTAAATATTCTGATATCAAACTCTTTGACACAAAGGCAGATTTTTTTTTACTTGATAAAACTCATGTTTACATTGTGTTTGTATTGGGGATTTTTTTGTTCTTTTTTCAATGTGTTATGCATATTCTGTACATCGTAGCCTCGTTACTTGTGGACGCAAAGTTGATGCAGTTACCTGGTGCTGGGTATGCTGTTTCTCTTTTGTCCCCGACAGCCTGTGAACTGTTGACTGATTACAGTCAAAGGAAGTGATAGAGAATTTAAAGCTAACTTATGTTTGAGGAAAGAGATGTCAGGTTTTCATGTTACATTTGCTTAATATTTGTTGATTTCATGCATTTGATATTCAGGAATTAATAGGAAACCAGACTTCGTTAGTTTTAATGCTTAAAGAGCAATCTTTGACGGTTTCCTGTTGACAAGGCCAGACTTAGAAATCAGGATTTTTATCTTGGATGAAATTTTGGACCTTTTATAATAAGTAGCAAAATTTGGCAGAGCAACTGAGAGTTCAGAGCATCGAGACATTGATGCATTGAAATTTTGGCATCGAAACTTTAATTATCACAGGCTAATAAGTTGCACTGTTTTAGCAAAGCTTCAGAAGACCCACCTTTAAGCAAAATTGACTGGTAGAAGTCAATGTAAAATGTTAATGCATATACTTGTATTTTCAAGAGTTTGTATAAATATTAATTAATTCACACAGCATTGCTATAAAGTGAGTATTTTTGTACGGCCTCATGATACTCTCTGACATATGGAGGTTTTAACATTAAATTGGAGTATGGATTAAAGATTTCAGGTTAGGTACAGGACTACTTTTATATTACCACCAAAACCAGTGCTTTTTAAGGATGCATATGTTCTTTCTTTAGTGCTATTTAATAATCAGGTTGGACCATCACTATGAAAACACTAGTAGAAAACTGTTTCCAAGCATACCTATTTAGAATGACTTACTCCTCCTAACATCATCTTCTGCACTATGATTTAGGAATTAAGTATTACTCAGTGAAGGTTGTCCATTGTTTGTGACTAAATGGAATGACTCAGTTTATGAAAAGCACTAAAATTCATCTCTTGGCTGCTAGCAAAGTTGTAAAAACGTCTCAATCTAAAGTACTGAAAAGCCTCTAAACAGGTGCTGAGAAGGTAAACTCAGGAACATCATTTAATTATCTGGAATGAGCTAAACCCTGGAATATATAAGAAGTAAGAGTTTCTGTACTTTTTGGTCTTAGTTTTCAGAGGTTACTTCATAGGGCTTCAAAAAAAGTTCAATACTGTATTTTTTAAGTTAATTTATGGCAGTTTATTTGTAGTAAGGGAAGATGGCAAGTATATAAAAACTGTCCAACTGAAGGAAAAAATGCCATTGTGCACAGACCTTTAACATACATGGTACAAGACTCAGTAAACTCAGTTACGAGCAGTGTGCCAAGTCTTTCTTCTTTTTTTTTTTTTTAAATAATAATTCAATTCCCTAAAGCAGTGCTTCTCAAACTTTCTGATTCTTCATCAATAAATTAAGTTGTAGGCCACATCTTATTAGGTCATCTGCAAATTCAAAGCTATCATACCCCAGTATTAAAATGTAGATCTCTTCTGAAGTATACTGTCTATTCTTCAGAGTGACTATTAGCCTCAGAACATATTTCTGCATTGAATATGACTCAGGAGTAAACTTTGTGGGCAGATTGCAATTTATCATCAGCTTTGTGTGGAATAGTAGAAAGATTTTCGAGGTGCACAGTCATCTGCAAATTCAAAGCTATCATACCCCAGTATTAAAATGTAGATCTCTTCTGAAGTATACTGTCTATTCTTCAGAGTGACTATTAGCCTCAGAACATATTTCTGCATTGAATATGACTCAGGAGTAAACTTTGTGGGCAGATTGCAATTTATCATCAGCTTTGTGTGGAATAGTAGAAAGATTTTCGAGGTGCACAGTAGCACTGATCAGAGCTATGCAAAGAAACATTTATCCAAAGGGATGTGATCCAGGCACAGTTCTGCTAAAAATATGGAAAAATCAATAGTAGAATATGGGAAATTGAGGGACATAGTTCATATTGATACCCAAAACAATTCAGATGTGGTGGTGGTGTCTGTTAACTCCCTCTTCAGAGTTGCTTTAGCTGGCACTTTCAGTCTAAATACTATAAAGTGTCCCAGTCAGTTTATGTAGCTTCCATGAGTGCCCTCCACTGGTATCAGGTGATTCTCGCTCAGATTATGAGTGTGCTGTAATTTTACCAACTTTTTTTGCATCATCCACTTATGTCTTCAGCATGTATATATCTCTGTGTGTTTATTTTAGTGGATTTTAACTTATCTTAATTTTTTTATTTTTATGGTTTTCACATGCCTAGTGCTGATAGCCCTTACAAACCCTTGAGACTTCCTGAACTTTCATTTCATCGGTATCTCAAAACTTTAATGCTCTTGCATCACATAAGCCTTTCAGTTTCTGCAAAGTCATCTTTTAAGTGGTTGTGATATTGCTGAGTTTTTAGTCTGTTAGTCCACTGAATTTTCTGGGGTTTCTTATAACTGAGGCAGACTCTTGCTTTTGCAGCCTCAGCTAGATAAAAGTCTAATGAGATTTTCAGATAAAATTCAACATCAGGCTGATACAAGCCCTATTTATACATAAAGAAAAATCTACTCTTAAAATAAAATTTTTGCCTTGAAAAAGTAGTCAGTTGGAGATTAAAATATACCTGCTGCATATTTGTGCTTTTGAGATCAACAGAGTTCATCTTAATGGAATAAAACTTTCAAACATCACTGCTCACAGTCTGTAGCCGTTTTTAATATCATCATAATTTAAACTAATTGAAAAATATTTGCAAAAAAATTCAAGCCGCCACTTACTGGTACAAAATTTAAATGAAAAATGCTGGTGTGTATAAGTGGGAGGTAGAAATACATGTTAAAGACCATTCTGATTATAAATACCTTGTTTAATGGAAAAGTTGTGTAAAGGAATGACACTCGTGGCTCAGCGTCTCAGCAACTATTGATACTGTTAAAAATCTTGAGTGCCTCTGGATCTTTATTCATCTGTAGTTTATAACAAGTCAGAGTGAAATTAGTCTTCTAAAGGGTTCTGCTGTTTCATGAGAACACCACCTCATAATTTTTGGTAGTTAATCATACATTTTGTATGTTCTACAGTGCTTGGTGTTGCTCAGGTTTCAGTTTTGTTTCCCATCTAGCTGAAATAAATTGTTGGGAGGATGCATTGAAAGGGAGATTGACCTGAGGGTTTTTTTTCCAGTGAGCTAGCTAAATCCAGATTTGCGCTGTTCTCATAGAACCTGACCCCGTTGCCACTATACAGTACTATGTATAGTGCAGCACAGTATATCCTCTGTCTGAGTGATATTTAGCTATGTATACAGACTAGCTGTATGAAATTGAGCAAGACAGAAAAACTGCTGGGGAAAAAACCTGCAGAGGAATATATTGATGCAGTGATGAGCAGTCATGGTTTGGTAATATGGGTTTCCGATTTGTGGGGCTTGTTAAATCCGAAGATGTACCAGGTGCTGAAATAACTGGCCAGGAAATTTTCTTCCACCTACTTAGATGAATGTGCATTTCTTTTGGTCACCATTCTCTCTTGTAGTTCTCAGTGCTCTATCCACGTGACAGTGTATTCTGCATGGGGATACCTTTTGGATTTATTTGGGAATTAAAGCTCCTGCATATTGCTTGTGACTCCCTAAGAAGCTGTTTTGCATTGCAGGTGTGTAACAAAGCAAAAGTGATTGTATGCTGACATTCTGGATAGCTTACCAAAATGGCCCTGATAATGTTGGCTTTCTAGATACCTTGCAAATTCTGCTTTTTTTCCCCCCTTGAGTCTTTGGTGGAGAGGTAAAAGAAAAGGTGTGAAGGCTGAAAATGACATGCTACAATCGATATTTCTGCAAGTGCCTTGTTAAGCATGAATTATAATACATGATTTTTATTGTTCCTGTTAACTCTTGTTACTCTCTCCTTGCCCCATCAAGCAATGAACATTTTTAGATACAAATCTGCCTTAGGTTACTTACAGGAGAAAGAAAAGGAGGGCAGTTATGCCACACCAAGCTGTTTTGGTTTTAGAGAAACGGTAGTCTAATTTTAGCCTAAGGACTATTAATATATGTATATCTAAAAGTGTTATACTACTCATTGTGGGAAGTTAGGTTATCAGAAAGACTACAGACAATTAGGGAGAAAAGGAATAAAGTATCAAGTATCAGAGCTAGTGATACAGTATGTGTGCTGTCGCTGTTTTCAGGTGCCTTCGGTGAGGCTGAGAGGTGTAAAATATCTTCTTGGCTCCGTAATTATCCTTATGAGAATGCTAACTGGAAAGGCTATACCACATTTATAGAGTATTTTTTAAAGTCTTCATTTAAAATTCAGTTTGAGTAGGATTTTTGTATAAAAAAGTCTTTATTATAGAGTTGCGCTTGTAATGCTTTTAAGAACACAGAATGTAATATCATGCATTAATTATTAACTTGGAGAGCTTTCTTGTACAGGGCATTGACTTTCTGCTGTCTTGCACACCTTGTTCAATGAGCAGTTTAAGCAATAGAAGAAATGTTTGGTTTTGCTAATGTTTTGAGAGAACTGTTATATGACCTGAGGGGCATGAAACGGTTAACCTGTGGCTAAGCCATATTCTATTAGATTACCTATTAAATGCTGTTTTAGTTAGTAATGCATTGTACATGTATCCAGAGTATTTTATGTAAATTTGTATAAGTCGACTAAATAGATTTTTTTTTTGGGGGGGGGAGCATTTTTATGTAATTGATTGTAGTTATCTGTCTTAAGCATTTTTCCCTCTTTTTACCTGTAGTATGGATGGAGCAGATCTGTGTTTTGAAATTGTGAAGAGAGCAGATGCTGGATTTGTGTACAGCGAGGCTGTAGCCAGGTATGTATTATAATTTTAGTTAATCCCACAGGTTAAATGGGAAAGAATGGAATATACTGTTGTACAATCTGGTAGCTAAAAGTTGGAATAGTAGAAATAATCCTGTTTCTACAGTCTGAATGTTTATTACAATAATTCGCATAATAAAAGTAGAATTTTGGAGCATTTTATCATTTACTTAATGACATACTTAATTCTCTTTCTTTACCTTTTATGGATCTCTCACACAATGGCATCAGGTGACTTGCCTGACAGGTGTGAGTTTTATTGGTCTTGTTAGATGGAGTCGTCTTTTTTTTTTTCTTTCTTCTTTTTTATATATCACTTTATTTATGGTCACTTCAACTTTTCACTTATGAGGTAAACTAAAATCAAAGAGTCTATATAATTGCAGAAGGACAACAAAACCCAACATCCTAGTGGCATGATAATTGAGCTTAAAGCCCATGAGATTCTTTGTTTGCTTTTCTTGACGCTGCAGATTTTTTAGCATCATAGAAGCCAGGTTGGAAGAGACATCAAGAGGTCTCTGCTTCAACCTCCTGCTCAAGGCAGGGTCAACATTGCGTTTGGATCATGTTACTCAAGGCTTTGTCCAGTGGGGTCTAGAAAACCTCCAAAGATGGAGATTCCACGTCCTCCCTGGGCAACTTGATCCAGTGCCTAATTACGTTCCTAGGGAAAAACGTTTCCCTATAACCAGCTGGAACCTCCAGAGGACAAGGATTGCCTCCCTTAGCCCACTAGTAATGTTCTGCCTGATGCAGCACAGGATGCTGTGGGCTTTCTTGGCTTTTTAGTATGGTCAGTAATCTGTTACGGCATCCTTTGGACACAGGGGAGAAAGAAGTTAGTCTTCAATCTGCATCAAGTAAGCCAAGACCTTGGTTCTATCCCTTTCTAGATAAATCGGGCACTGATACTCACTTGTTTCCTTTCTGTGTTTTGTTATAAAAAAACCTGAAGGGTCCTGACTTCCTTGTCATATGAAGCAGAATTATTGAATATTTGAAACCTTTACAAAGTGGAAAATGCAGATTTTTCTTTCTAATTTTCCTTGGCTTCAATCAGAACAATCCTCAAACTTTAGGTTTTATTATTTATTACTATAAACACAAACTCCATTCTACTGAACTCTGTATATTTAAGGTTAAGTTGGTTGATTAGTTTTATATAGTTTGACTCTTAAAACTTAGTTTGTTGTATGTGTATAGTAATTTTTCCTGCAGGTTTGTCATGTGTGATGTCTTTGTTCTTTCAGTCATTACATGAGACAGATATTGGAAGCTCTACGTTACTGTCATGATAATAATATAATTCACAGGGATGTGAAGGTAAGGGGGTTTAATTCTTTTTTTTCTTCACAATAATACAAACTACTGAATTTTGATTTCTGGAATTTAGAGGAAAGGGGAAGCTGTAGAAAAGGAAGCTGTATTTGCTGAGTGTGTGTTTACTCTTACTGTGTCATGTAAGATTAAAGCCCATCTCTAATTCCATCAATATAGAACATTTAGGAGGTCTTTATTCACAGATTACATATGCATTTGATTGCAGCTTACCTTGAAACTCAGTTTAATTTTTAGTTTTTGAATATTCAGATGAAATCTGCTTGCATTTTTTTTCATGTTAGGAAAATGTGTATATAAATTAATTGCATAAATTAAACCGGAGTTGGTAGATTAATGGCATCGTTTTGACAGCATAATGACAGTCTTCATCCAAACTAAGATTTCAGAGAGATGCACATACATAAATGCTACAATATTGGTAGTAGTATCTACTTTTTGCAAGCAGTCGTAAACATTTATTATTGTGAAAACTTCTCTAATACAAACAAGTTTGGGAGGAGAAATACAGTGTTTAAGAACAGTCAAGCTACATGCTCTTTCTGATCTGATGAAATTTGATGGATATTTATGGAACTAGTTTATCCCAAAGTACTGTAATGTAAGTAATTGGGAGTTTTAATAGTAGTATCTACTTTTTGCAAGCAGTCGTAAACATTTATTATTGTGAAAACTTCTCTAATACAAACAAGTTTGGGAGGAGAAATACAGTGTTTAAGAACAGTGTATGTACATGCTCTTTCTGATCTGATGAAATTTGATGGATATTTATGGAACTAGTTTATCCCAAAGTACTGTAATGTAAGTAATTGGGAGTTTTAACCTAAGTGGGTTTGACTCTCTTCAATTTGAGCATACGTATTCTTTGTTAATGTCATTGTCTAAGATAGTTATTCCCACTTCGTCTTCTCTAAGAGTTTGCTTTTATCCAAAGTGAGTCAAGCACTATAGGACTTAATGAAAATTCTAACGAGCTCTGATAGTGCAGTTTGAGAAGTGAATCTTGGGGTTTAGTGAATAGAGAAGATTGAGAGAGGGTAAGCTGTGCTTCAAACTCCTACAGGTGATCTGTGAAGGAAGAGAGTACGGACACTGAACTGATGATTTTCATTTAAGGAGTCATTTGGTCTTGCATACGCAGGCATTGCAGACCTTTCCCAATCTCTTTCTCCTTTCCTTCTAAAATCAAGAAAATTATTCCATGTAATAGGCTTTTTTTTAAGTTTGGTATTTTAAAAGTAGTTTCTTACAGCAAATTCTAAAGATGGCCTGGTAAAATGTCTCATCTTGTTCTGTCTTGACAGTTCTAGATTCTTTTAATTGTTCATTTTTGGTACCACATGAGAATTTCAGAATTAATATCATCTTTATGTTACTGTGTCTTCCTGAAAGCTGCATCTGTTTTTGTGGGACCATGTTATTGAATGAAAACAAATTTCCGTTTCAAGGGCCTCTGAGGGACGCTCATTTTACTGAGTGTAAAATGGGGATTTATTTTGCAGCTTATCCAGTCTGAAAACTTTAAAATCACCATTTTTATTAAATACCATCCTTAGAAATAAACCTGTTCAATTACATGAGTGAGTAAGAATTTTTAATGTATCAGTCTAAAGTAGTGTAAACCAACGGACAGTTTGGCAACAGCAGTGCAGAAATATAACTATAGGGTTTGGGTGTAGAACATATTAAGCTAACTGCAATATCCCAGCTCTAGATGTCACTGTAGACATTGTTTTGAAAGGAAGTAGACTAAGTGACCAATTTCCGAATTATCTGAATGGATTAAAGTGGATTAACAAAAATCTGTAAAGTTGATACAGTCATACTACATTTTTTCCCTCTTAAGCTTTCTGTGAATGTTATTTTGAACTGCAGAATGCTTGATCATCATCTGATGCACAGGAAAATTTGCACCTTACAGTCCCTGTAAGAATTAGGTGTCTTCTAGCCACTTTTTGTGCTCCCTTAGCTCTCAACTGATTAGGAAGAGTTAGACAGGAATACTTCAGTTTGCTGTAGTCTGGTGCCAGAAACTTCACTTGGCTTGTGTAAGTGACAAGTTCTACCAAAGCTTCTGGAGCACTATGACTGCAGCCTATGGTAAACTCCTGTATGCTCAGATTCACCTCCAATGACAGATACAAAACATGAAAACTTTCACAAGATGGCCTGTAGTTGTCTTAATTTCCTTCACTGCTCTGTGAGACCAGACGTTTCTTGAGCCTCTGTACATCATTTGACCCCCTTCAACATTGCTTAAAGGCTTTATAATCAGTGACAATTGCACTTTTGCTTCACCTTCAATTAATGTGATCCAGCATTCATTCATTGCTTGGAAGTTGGATTGTGTAATAAGGAAAGTAGAAAATGCTAATGCAGGAAGGTGGAAAACTCAAGACAGCTATGCATCAGAAATGTGAATGTCAAGAACTTTTTCCCTTACCACAACATTTATTCCTATTCTGCCAACCTAGTGATATAGGACTCAGCCATTCCTTTTATTCTTTCAGAACCTTGCTGTGTCAGAAATACCCAGAAGATGGCTACCAAAAGTAGCAACATTGAAATGGGGTCTTTTCCAATATAGAATGTTATTACACAGTAGTTTGTATACAGAATTATCTTTATGGAAGAGAACAAAAAAAGGGAGTAATGTGGGTCTGAAATGAGATGCTTGTCTTTTTCCATAAAACCCTTGCTAGAGTTTGAGTACCATTTGTCACTGAAGTCAGCCACTTTCTCTTGAGCTGTCAGTATTAGACAATAATGAAAGTATTTTGTGAATATAGTCATTAAAAAGTTATGAGTGGGAGAGGACCTTTAAAACAGGACAAAGAAATAGGAGAAAAATGGCTTATCTCTTTCTTCCAAACGTCTACTTCACTATATTCTGTCCTGCAAAATAGTGTTTTCTCTTACTTCACCTTCAGGAATAAGAAAGTAACAAATTGGGTTAACTCTGCACTGAAGTGGTTTTTCTCTTAATATAAATACAACTGAAGATAGTTCTCTTGTATACGACAACACATTTATTACAGGCAATAATTCATGCCTCGAGATTTAATGGAACTAAAAACAAGTAACCAAAATGTGCTCTATAGCTGTAATCTTTCTTCAAGAAAGAGAAAAATTAATAGTATGCCTCTGCAACTCTTAACTGTGAAGGATACCACTGATCATTGAACTTCCTTAGGTTCTGTGCTATAGAATTATTTTAATAATTATGATTTTAACAGCTGAAAGTGGTGGTTTTGTTATAAATAGGTGAACTTGAATATTTCCAGTCCCTATGGAAGTTAATGTGGTGTAGAGTACCTAAAGCAGCGTTGTGCATTTAGCGCAGTCACATTTGGTCAGCATTCAATATTTTGAGTTGTTACATTCTCAGTGTGTGGGAAAAGTTGCTTTATCTTGTCTTGACAGTTTCACTGAGTTACCTGCTAGTAAGAGGATAGACTAACATTGATCTTGGTAGAAGACTTTTGTGCTGGTTACTGAAAGTAGAATGTGATTTAGCTCAAGAAATAGACTGTTTAAGCATTGTGTAAGTTACGAAGCAGGACAGTGTTCTATAAAAAGTGCATTTCTTCAGTGTTTATTGCAGATTTTTTCACCTGTTCACTTTTGCAATAACTTCAATGGAATGTTTTTTTATCAGTAAAACATCAAAAGGTTTTACAATCTTCAGTTAGCCTATATTGTGATGCTTATGTAGCATTTTATGTAGTTGCCAAAATCTTGTTATAAAAATACCTTTTAATATAATTGATACAAGAGTAATTTAATCACATCAAGAGCTTTAATTGCTGGGGTTTTAGCCTTAGTTCGCTCCAAATTCTCCAACTTTGTTCTGTGATTTCCATCTAGTTTTCTTGTATGTGTTTCTGTGATCAGTAAAATGTTTGGTGTGCAACTGGAGTCAGGGCAAGCTTGTTGCCTAAAGGTAGACAGCCAAAATTTTTATTACAGGTTTATCTCAGTAGGTATGAATGCTTGTTTCCAACGTGTGGTCATCTAAATAGGTAGAACTGCTAAAGCAAAAGTATACGGATTCTGCCTTCTCTGCTGTAAGATTCAGTTCAGTATTTCCGTGACTGGAAGTAAAACCACGTTGTCCAGAAAGTAGGACTAAGCATTATGCACTATGTTGTGTGTCATATACAAATCTCAGTTGGTCCAGGTGACTTGAGACTTGATCTGTGAATAGACTTCCATGTTGATTTATGTGCTGTACAGAACTTAATTAACCATACAAATTCTGAGAGCGCACTCACCACTTCTGTCTTTCATTGCCTAAACTACTTGTAGTTAGGCACTTCAGATTTTGCCAGTAGAGTTCAAGACTCTTATACTTCTGCTTTTACGTATATATAGAAAATGAGTAAGGCTTGTTCATAGCTGTTTATGTATATTTATGTAAGTGTGTATTCAACTACATAAAAAATAACCGGAATAGAAACTGTTCTTTAAGACCATCTTCTCTTTCCAGTCTTTGAATATCCAAAACAAGAAATCTGTTGCATGTTACTTTCCTTCTACACTTTTCATTTTGGCATGGAACCTCTTTTATGCTTTCTGGGGGCAGTCAGTAATAACTGGTGCTTTTTATGTATTTTCTAGAAGTTATTAGATCCTTGAGATCCAGTAGTAACTGCTTTGTGAGGACTTCATTACATATTAAATTGTTAAAAGGTTATTAAGGCTGCAAAATCAATAGCAGAGGTAGAATTAAGGTGTCCTATCTGGCCATGTTTTTCTGAGGAGCACTTCCTCTTTCAATGCGGAAGTTAAGAGGCTCCAACAATAAAGCTTTCAGTATTTTTTCCTCAATGGTTCTTCAGGCGGTACTTCCCCCCAACCCCTTGTTTATGTCCACTCCTGTATATATGCTTCCTATCTGAGTCCCCATTTCTTCTTTTGTCCTGCCCTTTTCCTAGTGTACTGTTAGCTGGCTGCTGGGTGTTCAGAAGCAGTTTTGCTGAGAA